GAACTGTCATTCAAGGTTTCTGAGCATCTGAAGTAAGAGAAAGTAAAATATTACTCAAATGCTTCTCCAGAAAAACAGAGAAGACATTGAAATTCTTTATGGAGCACAAACCCTGGCAATCCAATCCACCCAGTGTCATGGAGCTAAGTGTACACACAGGTGTCCCCACGTCACTAAGACACATGTGGGAAGATCCTATTAGCAGACAATGTCTTGGGTGTTGGAGATGACGCTGGGTGTGGTAGAAACAGGACTTTATAAATTCCAATTTTCTACATCACTCCAGCATAAAAAACAAACTGTTGGGAAAGATGAATTCTGTAAAGCTACAGAACACAAATCAATATAGAACACTCAGTTGTTCACCCTAATAATGACCCATCAGAAGAGTCAATAGGAAAATCCCATTTACAATCGCATCAAAAAGAATGAAATACTTGGGATAACATTTAATAAATGAAGGAGAAGAAAAACCTGTAAATGAAAAACTAAAAAAAAAGATGAAAGAAATTGAAAAATAAATAAATGAGAAGCTATTCTGTGCTCCTGATTGGAATAATTATTGAAAGGTACAGTTGTCCCTCTCTAGAGGCAGACTCAGCACCCCAAAGCCGTTGAGGTTTTCCCTACCATTCCCGCTCTGTTCTGGAATATTTTGGTCAAATATACAATGGATAGTTTCATGTGAAGTCAAATATGTGGTAAAGTAATGATGTGAGGGGTCTGAATAGAGCAAAGTACAGATCCAGTGCAGTCCTGATCAAAATTCTGATGGCAATTATCACAGAAAGAGAAGCACCCATCCTGAAATGTGTATTGTCTACTAATTGTATTAGTTACTTTCCATTAAGGTCTTATACGTTTTGTCTTGATGCGGCATATGGAAGAGCCTATTTCGAGTAGGCAGGTTTGGGGGTTCCGGGGTGCCCCTCTCCCTGTCCTGTAACAAAACGACTGCAGGAGGACAGAGGACCAGGAAGAGCCAACACACGCTGGAGAGTGAAGCTGGAGCCATCCTGTGCCCGGACTTCAAACTGTTTAACTAGAGTTAATTCCTCAGATAAAGTGAGGATTTGAACCCAAGAAGCAGCCAGATTCTAATCTGTGAGAACGACGCCAGACAACAAGTTTGAACTCAATTTCTTTGGCTAGAGTCATTGAGGGCCTCCCCTGGTGGCGCAGCAGTTGAGCGCTGGGCTGCGAGGCTGCCCGCAACTACTGCAGCTCCGGTTCCTTCCCCGGCCAGCGAGGGTCCCACCAAAAAAAAAAAAAAAAAAGAGTCATTGACATTAAGAATGTAATTTCCTGGGGGTTAGGGGCTTCCATTCCAAGGGGTCCCAACCTAAACATGCTGACTGATGCTGGAGGATTTAATCTCTCTCTGAAGGACGCCTGGAGAGATGCAAAGGCTGAGCGCCCCTTATCACATCCTCTCTACCTGCCTCCAGGGGCCACAGAGGGGTGAAAGGGGTGGTGGTGGTGGAGGAGAGCTGCTCAGACCCAGCATCTGGGGTGGCTTTGATTCCTGCCAGCTAGACCCGGGCGGGAGGGGGACGTCAGCCCCAGAAGAAGTTACCTGCTCCCCAAACTCCATGATAAACCCACTGTGATAAACACACCCAGGTCAGAGGAGCAGACAGAGCCCAGGAGCCCCCAGGTGCCATCAATGCAGCAGAGGCGCCAGGAGCCGGGGCGCAGGAAGCCGCTCTTCAGTCCTGGAGGCGGACACGGAGGGTCACGCTCAGGAATGAACCCGGACTCCTCTGTTCCTCCAGGCCCATAAGTGAGGCCAAAACCCCTTCGCCCCCACGCCGCTCTCCACATCCAGCCCCGCCCGCCCTGGGTCCTCCCATCGCCCCTCGCAGTCAGCTGCCCTCAGGGAGCTGTTCTCACTTCCCCTCGCCTTCTGCTCACCTCCTCCCCTGCCCACCCAAGGGGCCCCCAGATCAAAGCACAGATCAATGCCGCCTCACCAACAGTTAAGGGAGACACCAAGTCCTCTGGAATCCCGGGGCAGTCAAGGTGCAGAGGAGATGGAGGGGCAGTGCAGGTGCTCCAGGCAGGTAGGGGCGCGGGCTGGATACGACCCCAACGCGCTCTCTCGATTGGCAACACTGACCCCGCAGTCCCGCTGCTGCTGGGCTGTTTGGAAATTCAAACTCCAATGGGGGCAAATACCACTCTTGTCCAAAAATAGTTCAACGAAATTTCCAGGAAGCCATTAAAAGTGTTAAACGTATCTATTTGGATTTAAAAACTTGCTCAGGACCATTTAGCAGAGATCACAGGTGGCTCAGCAAACCCTCCCCTTGCCCAGGATAATGGGTGTAGGATTCGCTCCTTCTCTGCGCTTTGCCGGCTCCCAGGTCCTGACCCTCCACTGTCATCACTGTTCTCCGCGGTCCCGACATTACCCGTCCTCGCCACCAGGCGGCGCACTCTGTCGTTGTCTGGGCTTCCCGTCAGGGCGTTTCCACCGCCAGGGGACCCCAATCATGCCCCCGCCCTTCATTCAGGATGGGCTTCTAATCGCCACCTCTCATTTATGTGTACACTGTAATTCATTTACCATTCCCTGGGCTTTGTGTTTAGATTGTTTCCAATTATTTGTTATTATAAAGAAAATGTTGGTGAATATTTTTCCACATAAAGATTTTATCTATAGTTCAAAGTATTTCCTTAGATCATTTCCTGAAAGTAGAATTTATATCAAGTAGTATAAGTACTCTAAATTCCAGTGTCTGCAGGATGGTACAGTTATCTCATTTTCAGGAGTGAATGAGAATACATATTTCACTTCACCTTTGCCAACATGTCACTCTGTCAAGGTTTTGATGCAAACCTTGTACATAAAGGGTTTTACTATGTGTAAGAAATATTCAATTACTTTAAACCCTCAAAAATAAGGAGCTTTAGCTCAGTAGTACTACTCATTGTAAAAACTAAAATACCACTGAATTTTAGGAGTTAAAATAGAAAAGTAAAGGAATAAAACTGTAGCAGAATGATCAGATGCTCTCTGTACAGGTGTTCTCTTCAGATCTCAGATCTCACAATGAGGTCAGATTCACTGGTCTACGTCATAGTTGGGTGCATGGTGGGGTTCTAGACACCTGAATGTGGATGGAGAAGTCTGCCAATAAAACCTCTCCCGCCTCATCTTGTCTCCTCCTTCCCCATCCTTCAGATGCAAGCAGATGACTGCAGGGACAGAGGATGACAAAATCACCACATGAAGAGACTTACCTCCTAAATGCTCACATGGATGCCACCCAGCCAGAAAAGACAATGAAATAGACAGGAATGGATTTTACAGGATGAATTATCTGGAATTGCAGGTTTTATATGTTAAAGTAGGCAGGTTCATTCACTGTGACCATTAAGAATTCTTAAATGTTAATTATCCCTGACACCTTCTTAAATGTGGTATCTTTTCTTAGTTCATCTGTGCACCCATTCTGTGCCATTCTTACCAACACCATATTAAAGAAAGTTACATACCCAACGTGGAGGTTCTTCCTGAACTAAGATTACTACTCTCCATAGAGATCATTCTCAATAATAACTGTCTCTAAATTTCTTGACACTCTTATGATCTCTAAAACTCTACTTGGTTCTAAACAATAACTCCAATTTCACTATTACAATCATTTTTTTTTTTAACAGATTTATTTATTTATACAAGCTACTGGGTACAGTCAGAAGCGCGGGAGGGTGAGAGAATTCACCAGAGCCAGAGGGGAGAGCAGAGCAGGCAGACTGACGAATCACACTGCTGAGGGGAGCAGCGGGCGGCAGGAGAGGTCTGCGCGCCATGTGGCTCCCTCACCCGGTGGCTGGGGATCGCCGGGGATTGAACCAGCGCTGCAGAGGCCGCGGGCAACTTTGCAACCCAGTGCTCAACCGCTGCGCCACCGGGGAGTCCCTACAATCATTTTTCTTAAGCCCTGACCTATGACTTCTGCAGCTCTCTTCAGTTTCTGTGCCACACTGTGTTCTGCTTGTTGGGAAATGCATTCATTATATAAATGAGAAAGATAATTACATTTGAATAAAAGCACTTCAATCTATTCCTTTACAGCATCATCAGAGTCTCTCCTATTATGTCCTTTTCTGATATACAAATGGGTTTTTCCTTATATTGGAAATAATTGAATCCATTACAGAAAAATTACCAGTGCCAAATGCACAAGGACTGTTCTTGTAGAGAGGGATATAAATCTCAGAAATGTTCCTAGAGGAGCTATATTTTATTGGAGGAAGGATCTAAATCAGATGATAAAAAGCACAGGGTAATAAATTTCCACCTACTGCATGGTACAGGGAAGATAGACCATAGGAACAGATAAGAATGAGATGCACTTTTCCACTGGTGTGAAGAGGGAAGTGTTAATTCCAGGATTGCTTTAGCTGGGTCTTGGATATTGAATAGGTTTCCACAGGGGAACAGGTGAGCAGAAGGCATCCAGCCTGGCAGGGGTAAAGGAGGAAGCTGGGGCCGTGGCTGGAGTCCATTAGCAGAAATTTGCTGGAGAGGGAGCCTCTGTGGGGACAGGAGTGGAAGCCAGGGTGGAAAGACAGTTGGGGTCAAAGCTGGAACTTTCATCAACAGAACCAGGAATTCTGGCCTTCCAGTTGATCATGGAGAGGAACTGAAGGTTTCTGGGTAAGTGAATAACATGATGAGATGGGACCTGAAAAGTAAACTGTGAAGATGTTACCAGTAACTTCTACCCTGGTTTTCATGACTGCCCTTCCCCACACATGGGCCTTTCAGACAGCTTTTTCCCTAATCACTACCCCTCATTAAATTTTAATACCACAGTTATTTTGTTTATCTGTTTATGTAGTATATGTATATAAAGCTATGCTTTAACACAATAAGAATATATAATGAAATAGAAACAGTTCCTTTAGACAAATTCTGGATGCTTTGTTCTTATGGACTGCTTTTGCCTGGGTAAAACCACTGAGTCAGTGCTCCAAAGCTGGAGGGCAGAAATGACATTTTTTTTCTTTAGTAATGGTGCACCGGCCATGAGTGGAAGCCTTTGGTCTTCTTTGTTTGTGTCTTCTGGTATTGGACCTCTTCTTATGAGTGAGCTAAGACAAGAATAACCAGGAGTCAGTATAGAGTGGCCTGCCATGTCTGGGTAGAGTATACACTCTATGAATGGGGACCCAGTGGAGGAAACAACCTCCCACATCTCCAGGTTATATAGCCCCAACAACTCAGAGCTGGAAGTAATGTGATACAGTCAGCCTGCACTTTCCAGTGAATTTAATGGGGAAGAATACTTGCTTTCTTAGTTACATACCAAGAAAGCTTTCAACACACTTTGTTGGGCAGGAATAGAAAGGGTGATGTGACTAGATTGCCACAGACTCTTGCTCTTAATGAGATTTAGTACATTTTCTGAATAGATATTATTTCATTTGCTTATTTTCTCACTGGAAATTTTCAGTCTGAATTTAAAAATGTTCACCAGTTGTAGTTTTTTCACTGGGCAATGTTTCCACCATACCGGGAGGACCATTACAATATATAAATTTATTTTTCAAAGTCAAAATTGAAATGAAAATTCATGATAAGAGTATGAAGACATACAATTTGCAGTTGTTAAAACAAGATTTGAGAAAAACAATGTGTCATGAATTTCAATAGAATAATTGACCCTGAATACAAATGCATTAGCTAACAGGATCCAAATGAAACCATTAATAAACGTGGTAGAACAAAAGATCCTTTTCACTTTTTATTTTCTCAATATCAGGACTCCCTTTACAAAGAAAATGTGGTCAAATGTCATTAAGTCATTTTGAGGAAAATAAATATATAAGTGCATATGGAAATAATTATAAACCTATTCTAATGAGGAAATTGAAATAGAAAAATTGAGCATTTCCCCCTCCCAATTTGGCATATATTTAAGTGGTTATAAGCCAAGAATTTTGCATAAATGAGAAAGTGACGAATTTCATAATTTGTGTGGGGGGGTGTAAATTCCTTTTGGAAGATAGTTTGCCATATCTTTCACAATTAAATATATTGCAAAGATAACCTCTAATTTCACTTCTAGGAATTTATCTTACATGCATACTTTCCATGACTTCCCCAAAATATTTGTGCAGCCTTGTTTTCATATTAAAAGTTTGGAATGGCACAGGTGATCATCAGGAAAAATAAAACTAGTTAACTAAATGTTACATATATTTAACATAATTAAACATGGAAGTATGGAAGTATGGAAGTGCCCATATGGAAGTATGGAAGTATGGAAGTATGGAAGTGCCCATATGGAATCTTGACCAAGATGTTGTTAATTAAAACAATAGATTGTGTGACAGAGCACTGTATACATTGCATTTCATTTTTGTGCTATAAAAGCATATTTTGCAGACCCCGTGGAGACATTATTGGTTTCTTTTGGGAGACTGCCTTCCAGTTAGGCAAGTTACTTGTTGAATTTTCACCTTATACTTTTCACAGATTTAAAGCTAAATTCATATTCTGAGAATAAATCACAACAAATAGTTTAAACATGATTAATCTTAGTTCTTTTACTTAGGTTTGATCATGAAACAAATGATGTAATAAACAACATATCCTTTTTTATAATTGTCAAATCATTTATGAAGTAAATTGGAAGCATACTTTAGAAGGTATAGATTCTGCCTTTGACTGAGATTCTTTACATTTCACAAATTCAAAAATTTCCAGTTCCCCAGATTCCTGATCTCATATTACAATCACAGAACTGAAATTATGATGTTATTATTTTTTCACCATATCCCAAATAATTGAGTGAGATAAAATAGCCAGGTTTTAAAACAGATTAGATAATTAAAACTCTTGAAAATTACTCATTTCAGTTTTAATTATTTAATCTATTTTTAAAGCCTAGCTATTTTAGCTCACTCAATTATTTGGGATATGGTGAAGAAATAATAAGATGATAAAATTTTTGTACTAAATGCCAATAATTAGCTGACAATTTTGCATTATGTTCTTGAGGGAGATAGACCTGTAATTTCCACCTCTTGAACCGAGTTGGAGGACTTGGAACACTTGATTTCAAGATGTATTATAGAAATAGTGGTTAAAACAATGTCCATGGGTGCAAGAATTGACAAGGAGATAATGAAGTACAACAGAGAATCTAGAAATAGATCCACATGTTTCTCCCCTTTGGGGGAGCCAGAGCAAAGATTTCTTTTTCTGGCATTAGTGTTCTCATGCATAGCTTCTAGTAAAACCTTGTTTGGTTCAGCAGAAACTCTCTGGTGAATTCTTTCTCCTAGAGGGTCCCAGGACTCTCATATTTTTTTGGGGTCTGTAGCAGTGTTTTTTTTCTTATTATACCCAGCCAGAGTTATTGATCTCTATTATCATGATTATTTAGGATTAATCTCTGTTAAAAGCATTTATTTTTTACAAAACCACATTTTAAAATAATAATGTTGCCAGGATGTCTAATCAGCTTCTAGAATGAAGGAGAAATTATAATGATGCCTAAACGTCCCATGCCCTTGAGCATGAGGACATTGCAAATATTTCACATTTCTCTATATTGTGGGTCATTTATCAGCAACCTTCTTAAAGCCATTTAACCTCTTTGTTTCTCAAAGTCTAAGTCAAAGGATTAAGAGAGGGAGTCACCACAGTGTAGAAACAAGTTGAGGAATTTACTGTGATTCTGCATGTACTTGCTCTTGGGCTGGATGCAGACACAAATCATAGTCTGGAAGAAGAAAACCACAATTAGATGGGATTCACAGGCCCCAAATGCTTTCCTCCTGCCTTCCACAGATTTTATCCTCAGCACGCTCCTGACAATGCAGCCGTAGGAGAACAAAATAAGTCCCAGAGGTATAATCACATAGAGGACAATAGTGGTGGAGAGCTCATTTTCCAGGAAGGTTGTGTTCACGCAGGCGATTTTAATCAGGGCAGGCTCCTCACACATAAAGTCATCCACCCGGTGGTGGCTGCAGAGAGGCAACTGGAAAACAAAGATGGTCTGGACGGTGGACTCCATGAACCCACTGATCCAGGCCACTGCGGCAAGTTGCCGGAGAAGCTTAGGGTGCATGATGACACTGTTGTGGAGGGGGCGGAAGACAGCATTGAAGCGGTCATAGGCCATCACCGTCAGGAGGACACACTCCGTGGAGCCCACCCCAGAGCGACATAGAGCTGGACCACACAGCCTGTTTAGGAGATGGTCTTCTCCAGGCCCTTGAGATTCCAAAGCATCTGGGGAATGATGCTGGTGGTGAAACAGAGGTCCAGGAAGGAGAGATTAGACAGGAAGCAATACATGGGTGTGTGGAGTTTGGGGTTCAAGTATGAGACCAGTATGATAGCTGTGTTCCCCATCAGTGGCAGAATGTATATGGCAGAAATGACCACGAGGAGAACCATCTCCAGTTGGGGCTGGTCAGAAAAGCCCAGTAAGAAAAAATCATCCCAGTTACTTAAATTTGTCCCTTTCATTGCTTCTTAATTATGAGATTTTTCTCAGTCATCCCTACTTTATTTCTGTGGAAAGAAAATCAGACACCATAACCAATGGAAGCTTAGAAAACTGAGTAAATCTTGAGCATGAGGACAGTGCAATTATTTGTACATAGAAGCCACAAAGATGAAATAATGAAACTATTCAAAAGGTAATATGTGGACAAGTAGACTTGTTCTGTAGCAAGAGAGACAAATAGACAAGGTAATAAAAACATCAAATACCTTGAAGGGAAATAAACAAGGACTAGACATTGGAGTATATGCCAAAGCAGAATTGTGATACTTATCTGAAAATAAAATACACAGGTCATCAATGTGCATACAATGAGAAAACAAAGACATGGAAAATTAAATGATTGCTGCACACATAGGTATGTGATGGAGAAGAGATAAAATAGGCAAACTGAAAGAAATGAGGAATGAGCAGGAGTCTGAGTGACAAGGTATGTAGACCTAGAGATAAACAAAATAAAATTAGAATTTTCAAACAGAAGCACAGATTATCATTAATATTCATTGTTTTTATAAGAATCAAGTAATAACTAAAGCTAATAACTACTGGCCTGTTAATTGAGTTAAAGACTTCCATGATCTTCCTATTTCATTTATTGGTTTATTATCTTTACAAATATGGCTCTTTAGAAAAATGTAACCCAGTCTCCAGTAAGCAAGCTCTTTCCCCTGGTGGCATTAACTTCCATGTCCTTCTTAATACGTTATTTTACAAAAGTACAGAAATTCAGCCAACAAATACAATTTAGTGACCTTTCATAAAATAAGTTATATGAGATTAATCACTGTAGCTTAAGACATTAATTTGTAAAGCTTAAGGAATGTAGCACTTCTGTACAATCATTTTGTAGTCTCAAAATGATTGCAGTAGTTTGATTGCCTGTGGGATTAAAATCTAAATACCTTCCTGAAAAACAAACAAATAAATGAACAACTCCAATGAAAACATCTCATTTTCCCTTAAATACTCTGACTAGGAAACAAAAACTCATTTGGAAAAGACTTAGTCCATTAAGGCTGGTCTCACACAATTATTACATAGTCCAGTTTAAAGATCATAGATTACATTTTTCTTTTGGCACCCATGGTAATCATTTTCATTTTGAAATGTGTCAAGGTGTAACTGTTAGGTAGTTTGAGTAAAGGGTCATCTTTTCAGAATTATAAGAAGAGAGGGAAACTTACTTGTAGTCACAATATTTAACATAGTTTTCATGGCTAACTATTTTGGTGAAATGAAATATTGATGAACAATAAAAACTGAATGTAACAACATTGAATTGTTACCTCTACCAGAGGTGAGGTAGAGAAGGGAGAGCAAATTGGGGGGAGGCACAATGGACTGTGGTGGAGAAATTTCAGTGCCTTGGTGGCGGGTGTGGTGTGGTGACACACAACTGCAGGGTGTGATCCTACACCTCTAATCATATACAGTGTTGTAAACAATGTTGCCTCAAAAAAAATATGACAAAACCAACAAATTAAGGATGAAGGTTTATGTGCAAAGACAGGAAAATCAATAGACTATGAGTAATGAGTGAAACCTGCTTCTGTTCACCATTAAAGGGAACCAGCTCTGGATTTCCTCAACTTTTAAAATATATTTCCCTCTATTTCTTTTTCCATGACAGAAAGACCTACCTTCAAGGGAGAATGACAATCAGGTTGCAGAGGTGGTTGGTAGTTTTGATGAACTGTTCCATCACGATCACAGTTCCTGGACAGGCTGTGGAGGAGCCTGTGGGGGTAACTCCAGCACCCACTTCCACTGGTGCACCTACATCCTGTAATATTTTGGTTTATTTATTTATTTATTTATTATTTTATTATTTTATTTATTTATACAAGAGCCTGGAAAAGGCCAGATGTGTGGGAGAGTGACAGGATTCACCAGAGACAGAGCGGGGAACAGAACAGGCAGACTGATGAAATACACTGCTGAGGGGAACAGCATGTGAGGTAGGATAGGTCTGCTGCGCCATGTTATTTTGGTTTAAACTCTCTTCCGATGGCTTCTTTATATAGCTTGCTTATTCAACAGCACACCTTTCTGGAGCTCTCCTTCCCAGACAATCATCCTTCACTGTATTTAATAAATGGTGTTGGGAAAACTGGCTAGTCATGTGAAAAAGAATGAAACTAGACTGCTATCTCACATGATACACAAAAATTAACTCAAAATGGGTAAGCTTTGGATATAAAACCTGAAACCACAAAATACGCAGAAGAATACAGGCAAAACACTCCATGACATAGGTTTCAGGGATATCTTTGTGGATTTGACTCCACAGGAAGTATCTAAATATTTCTAAACCTTTCCAAAGATATTTTATGAGGCACAAATTATTCTGATGCCAAAACCACAGAAAAAAAGAAAACTATACCCAATATTTCTAATGAATATAGATGCAAAAATCCTCAACAAAATCTAAGCAAATTCATTTTAATAATAAGCTTTATGAGCTGAAAGCATTTCCATTAAGATCTGGAACAAGACAAGGATGTACAATCTCACCACTGCTTTTCAATATAATACTGGAAGTCCTAGCCAGAGCAATAAGACAAGAGAAAGACATCCAAGGAATCCAAATTGGAAAAGAAGAAGTCAAACTATCACTATTTGCAGATGATATGATAATATACATAGAGAACCCCAAAAACTCCACAGAAAAACTAATTCAACTCATCAATCAGTTCAGTAAAGTGGCAGGATACAAAATAAACACACAAAAGTCAGTATACACAAACAATAAATCTGAAGAAGAAGAAATTAAAAAAAAAACCCATCCCTTTTATTATCAAAACAAAAAAAATCAAATACTTGGGAATAAATCTAACAAAAGAGGTAAAGGACCTATACAAAGAAAACTATAAAACACTGTTAAAAGAAATAGAAGAAGACACAAAGAAATGGAAAGACATCCCCTGCTCATGGATTGGACAAATAAACATTATTAAAATGGCCATCCTACCAAAAGCAATATACAGATTCAATGCTATTCCAATCAAAATTTCAATGTCATTCTTCAAAGAAACAGAACAATTATTGATGAAATTCATATGGAATCACCAAAAACACTGCATAGCTAAAGCTCTCCTGAAAAAAAAAAGAAGGGAATGGAGACATCACACTCCCAGACTTCAAACTCTACTACAAAGCCATAATCATCAAAGCTGCATGGTATTGGAACAAGAACAGACATACAGACCAATGGAATCAAATAGAAAATCCAGAAATAAACCCATAGATTTATGGCCAACTAATCTTTGACAAAGGAGCAAAGACCATGCATTGGAGCAAAGAAAGTTTGTTCAATAAATGGTGCTGGGAAAACTGGGTCGCTACATGCAAAAGAATGAAGCTTGACCACTACCTCACACCATACACAAAAACCAACTCAAAATGGATTAACGAACTAGACATAAGACCTGAAACCATAAAATACATAGAAGGAAATATAGGCGAAACACTACGGGATTTGCACATCAAAGACATCTTTACAGACACATCACCCAAAGCAGTGATAGTGAAGGCAAAGATAAACAGCTGGGACTACATCAAATTAAAGAGCTTCTGCACAGCAAAAGAGACAATAACAAAAACAAAGAGAAACCCCACCAACTGGGAGAACATTTTTGCACCCAACACTAATGATAAAGGACTGATCACAAAAATCTGCAAAGAGCTGATGAGACTCAGCAACAACAAAGAAAATAATCCAGTCAAAAAATGGGCAAAAGAGCTAAAAAGAAACTTCTCTGAAGAGGAAATGCAAATGGCCAACAGACATATGAAAAAATGTTCAACATCACTTGTCATCAGGGAAATGCAAATCAAAACTACCATGAAATACCATCTCACACCAGTGAGAATGGCACATATTAAAAAAACTAGCAACAACAAATGTTGGCGAGGGTGTGGAGAAAAAGGAACTCTTCTGCACTGTTGGTGGGAGTGCAAACTGGTCCAACCACTATGGAGAGCTGTGTGGAGATTTCTGGACCTACTAAACATAGAGCTTCCATATGATCCAGCAATTCCACTCCTAGGTATTTACCCAAAGGACACAGAAACATCAATTCCAAAGAACACCTGCACCCCTATGTTTACAGCAGCACTGTTTACAATAGCTAAGCTTTGGAAACAACCCAAATGCCCAAAAATAGATGACTGGATCAAGAAGATGTGGTACATATATACCATGGAATATTACTCAGCATTCAAAAAAGATAAACACATGCAATTTGCAGCAACATGGATGGCGCTGGAAGGGATCATGCTCAGTGAAATAAGCCAAAAAGAAAAAGAAAAATACCGGATGGTCTCACTCATAGCAGGAATCTAGAAAACTTAAATAAGGGACCAGGAAAATGAATATAAGAAAGTGAAAATCAAAATCAACAAAAAACTATGAACCAGAGACACTTTTTGGGGGGTGGGGGGCGGGAAGGGAAGGATTGGGGTCAGAATGGGGCTTTTGCAATTGTATGGGGGAATATAAAAATAAAATTTATTATTTAAAAAAATACATAGAAGGAAATATAGGTGAAACACTACGTGATATGCACATCGAAGACATCTTTATAGACACATCACCCAAAGCAGTGATAGTGAAGGCAAAGATCAACAGCTGGGACTACATCAAATTAAAGAGCTTCTGCACAGCAAAAGAGACAATAACAAAAACAAAGAGAAAGCCCACTGAGTGGGAGAACATTTTTGCACACAACACTAATGATAAAGGACTGATCACAAAAATCTGCAAAGAGCTGATGAGACTCAACAACAACAAAGAAAATAATCCTGTCAAAAATGGGCAGAAGAGCTAAAAAGAAACTTCTCTGAAGAGGAAATGCTAATGTCCAACAGGCATATGAAAAAATGTTCAACTATATCACTTGTAATCAGGGAAATGCAAATCAAAACTACCATGAGATACCATCTTACACCAGTGAGAATCGCACATATTAAAAAAACTAGCAACAACAAATGTTGGCAAGGATGTGGAGAAAAAGGAACTCTCCTTCCCTGTTGGGTGGAGTGCAAACTGGTCCAACCACTATGGAGAGCTGTGTGGAGATTTTGGGACCTACTGAACATAGAGCTTCCATAGGATCCAGCAATTCCACTCCTAGGTATTTACCCAAAGGACACAGAAACATCAATTCCAAAGAGCACCTGCACCCCTATGTTTATAGCAGCACTGTTTACAATGGCTAAGCTTTGGAAACAACCCAAATGCCCAAAAATAGATGACTGGATCAAGAAGATGTGGTACATATACACCATGGAATATTACTCAGCATTCAAAAAAGATAAACACATGCAATTTGCAGCAACATGGATGGCGCTGGAAGGGATCATGCTCAGCAAAATAAGCCAGAAAGAAAAAGAAAAATACCGGATGGTCTCACTCATAGCAGGAATCTAGAAAACTTAAATAAGGGACCAGGAAAATGAATAACTATAAGAAAGTGAAAATCAAAATCAACAAAATACTGTGAACCAGAGACACTCTACGGGGGGTGGGGGGTGGGGAGGGGAGGGGTTGGGGTCAAAATAAGGGGGTTGCAATTGTATGGGGAATATAAAAATAAAATTTATTTAAAAAAATAATAAGCTTTATGAATCAGACATCATGACCAATGAGACTCTTCTTTCTTCAAGGTATTACTATGGTTTGTTTGTTTATCTTAGATTGAAGTCAAAGATTTTTTTTTTTACCTTTTTCTGTTGAGGTAGATTTGGTTTACAATACTATATATGATGCAAAGGTACAAAATCTCACCCCTCTTGTGTATGTTACCACACCATGCCCACCATGAAGGCATTCATAATTCCACACCAAAGGAAAATAAATCTCTTTTATTTTCCATGTAGACTCTATGGCATTAAACACAACTGGAATCATTAGGTACCACGTTGTTTTTTCTCCATGTATCTGTGGTTTCTCCCTCTTCCAGTTTACTGTTTGATTTTTAGTTTTATACCATTGTGATCTGAAGAAATGATTTCACTCTTCGGAAAGAGTGAATTTTATTTAAATTATCTACAGAAAAATAATTGGAAACATGGCTTAACAGAACCTGCGGGATGCAGCTAAAGTCATACTAAGAGAGAAGTTTACAGTAACATGCTTATGTCAAGAAAAAAGAAAAATCTTCAACAGCAATCAAATGTCACATGTAAAATAACTGAAAAAGAAGGAAAAATGAATTCAAGGGTCACTCTTCATGAGGAGATGATTTCACTCTTCATAAACTTAATTTACTTGTTTAGTGTCCCAAATTATGGAAGATCATTGAGAATATTCTATGAGCACTTGAAACAATGCTTATTTTGTTGTTTTTGAGTGGAAATTTCTGTAAATATGTATTAAGTTCATCTTATATAGTTGATCATTTCAGGCAATTCTTTCCTCATTGATCTTCTGTCTGGATGATCTGCTTATTGTTGCAAGTGGCTGTTAACTTCCCCTGCTATTGTATTGTCAGTATCTCCCTTTAGGTCTCTTAATATTAGGCTTACATATTTTGTTTTTCCTATGTTTCATGTATATATCTTGTTATTCACTATGTCTTCCTGGTGTAGTAATCCCTTTATGTAATATCCATCTTTTCTCTTGTTAACATTTTGTCTGAAAACTACTTTACCTGCCTTTTAAAATTTTCTTTTGGCTTAGAGTATCTTTTTTCATTCCTCCATTTAAGTCTTTGTCATTATTGCTACAGTGAGTCTCTTATTGTCAGCATTAAGTTGGATTTTGCTTTTTACTTCAGCCAG